ATGACCCAAATTTCGAAAACCCAGATGGAGATAAAAGAATGCACGTACACTGGGAAGTGAGGAGGCTGAGATTCTGAAGACTGATGTGAAGATTGTGGAGGGCGGTTTTCGCCGATGACGAGAGGCGAATCCAGGACACGGTGCGTTGGGTGAGAGCTGTTTGGAGCGCTTGGAGATGAGAATTCAAATCAGAGTATTGAGAGCGAAGCGCTGCCAAAAGAGGAGGAGCTTTGTGAAGAACATCTTCCTGGGCTGGGAAATGGTGGTTCAAAAACCTCAATTGGTCAGAGGAGATGTCGATGGGTTTGGGCAGAGAGAGAGTGGAGGAAGGAGTAGCTTCCATCTGAGATTGGGAATCGAATCGGCCGATCGGGAAGATGGAAAGGTCGCGTTTGGTTCTGGTTCTGGTTCTGGTTCTGGTTAAGGTTCGGCAGGTTGCAGAGATAGAAGAAAGAAAGGGAGAGGGAAGAGCGAGAGGGGGAACAACTTCGCCCGCCGTGGATGTTTGGACCGGCGGGAGGAGAGTTGTACGCTGGGGTTTTGGAACAATGAAACTAGTACAGTATTATGACGGAGCTTTTGCAGAAAGTGCTTTTGAAACTTAAAAATGCATCTGTAATCTGCATAATATATTGTATCTTTACTTGTACAAAACATGCATCTGTATTATGGTACATGATATATGAGGATGATTGGTATGTTATACTGGCTAAATAGTACTTTACATATTCATATTATTTATGTGACTTACAAGAAGACTCGTGGGAGGTATATGTTCAGTACTTATACATTTAACTACGAGCTGATAGTTAAGCGATAAAGCACGGATTACAAGGCTTCATTCAAACTAAAAATTAAAAGTTTTGTGTTCGAAACTCACTACTGATGTGAAAGCTAGACTTCTAACCAAGTAAGACTGAAATGTTTATGTGAGTCTTTCTGATCCTCGAAAAAGATAGATAACTGTAACTTACCACCATTTATTCCCTTTTTAAGAAAAAAAGTATACATGCACTTGTATGTGCATAGTATGAGACGCACGAGTTTAGTTTGACAAGTTATATGATGTGATTTTGGGTAAAATGTAAGTTACTTATAACTTGTTTGATTGTGCTTTTAAAATATCTAAAAACATTTTTTATACCAATTTAACAAAAGCCTTTTTTTTTTTTCATGCAAGCAGCTCCCTGTGGTATTGGTAGGGGTGGGCACGGTGCGGTTCGGTGCGGTTCCACCCCTAAATTGAAACCGAAACCGAAATATATTAACGGTTCGATTCGGTGCGGTTCCACTTAAATTTATTACTAGAACATTACGGTTCGGTCTACACCGGTTCCGATTCGGTTCTTGCCGGTTTACGGTTCCTAATAATAAATTATTTGAACACCAAATCATTATGCATTCAAATACATCTTCTAAAACTGATTACATAAAGTTACATACAACACATCTTTTTTAATGCAAATGTCTTTGTTAGTGGCACCAAGTCAACAAAAAGAGACAACTAAAATACATATGTACTGGTCAATCAGTCAACAAACAAAAAAATGATGAAGCAAATTGCAGGTTTTCAGACTTCAGAGAGCAAGCAAGAAGCAGCAGCTCCTGTACACAATTTTTCAACCTATTATACTATGACATGTGTGTATATATAATTTATTTATTTATTATTAATAAAACGGTTCGGTTCGGTTCGGCCGGTTCTTGGTCATTCGAAACCGGAACCGGAACCAGTTTGAACGGTTCGGTTCGGTTTTTCACTCAAAGTTGACTTTTCCGATCAACACGGTTTTTTTCGATTTTTTTTCTTACGGTTCGATGCGGTTTTACGGTTTGACGGTTTTTATGCCCATCCCTAGGTATTGGAAATGAGTGTTGTCTTTTATTCGAACACTGTCGGCTCTGTAATCTGACATTTGACAAAAAAAAAAAAGAAAAAAAGCAAGCGAAAGCCCATTTTAATCCGACAGCGTGTTTCCTCCTCCGCATTGCAGCCGCTCCACTGCTCCTCCTTCCTCAGCTGTAAGTCCTTCTTCATCGATAAGCCCATTTCTCTCTTCTTCTTCTTGTTCAAGTCTTCTACTTATTCCAGTCTAATTTCTTCTGATTACTGTTTCTAAATTCTGATTTACGGATTTAGGAATTAGGATTCTTTTAATTGGATGTCTAATCTAGGGATTTAGGGAATATTGAATTGATGTCCAATTTCTGATTTTAGTTTAGTTGAATTTTGGGATTGGATTGGAGCTCCAGCCATTGGTCTTTGAATTTTAGTTGATTTTGTATAATTGTATTGTTGTTAGCTTATCATTTTGTTGGGAAATTCCATAAAAACAAATTAGACTATGCTCAAATTTAGTGAGGAACTTATGACTTCGGAAAATTGGCTTAAAAGTTCAGACCAATCCAGTTTCAAATCCTGGGTTCGGACTTGGTGCTCATCATTTGCGATTTTCGCTAATTAATATATTATTGGACACGGCTTCTTTTCTTGTTGATTCTATTGCTGCTGCGGATTGAGTTTTTGAGCTTATATGTTGCCATGGATGACAGGTAGAAAATGCCAAAGGTAAAGACTAACCGAGTCAAATACCCAGAAGGATGGGAACTGATTGAGCCTACTCTTCGCGAGCTACAAGCTAAGATGAGAGAAGGTTTAATTTTTTCCGTGTTTTTATTACATTGTTCCTTGAACTTTTAAAAATCGATGCGTATAAGAATTCAAAAGTACACTGATGAATGTTTCCTTTATCTTTTGGACAGCGGAGAATGATACTCATGATGGTAAGAGAAAATGTGAGACCTTGTGGCCTATTTTCAAAATTGCACATCAAAAGAGCCGCTATATTTTTGACCTTTACCATCGAAGAAAGGAAATATCCAAGGAACTATATGAGTTCTGCCTGGACCAAGGCTACGCTGACCGCAATCTAATTGCAAAATGGAAAAAGGTTTGTCTCAGATCTCTTCTACCCTTATTTGCTATTAGTTGGCATTTTATTTCCTTTGTCTGGTTTATATGTGTATGAAGTTGACTGCATGGTATATCGAACTTGGAAATAAGTTGCCTAGTTTTGAATTGGAAGCGGAGAGCCTTGTTGGCTTGGGGTCGCCCTTTTAATCATGAAACACCTGTAAATAAAGTTGAAAGAACATAAGCATGAATATTTATTATCAGAAAATTGGAGTAAACTTAGCATTGCTAGAAAATTAGCGAATTCAGGGGGAAATACATAGACATAGGACATGGGTAGTATGACATGGATATGCCCACCATGAAGGTCAAGTTATATGTATTGGAATACATAGACATAGGACATGGGTAGTCTGACATGGATATGCTGACGATGAAGGTAAAGTAATATGTATTGGATTTTGCATTGTCAGCTGCATTAGTAAGTTTAAAACGAAGTTCTGTACTTTAATTAGGATACCAAAAATGTTAAGGAAAATATAGCAAACTCATGTACATTGCGTCCTTTTATCCACATCTAATATTTATGAATTAATATATTAGTACAAGTCAACTGTGATGACAAATCATGACATAAGGCTTGTGTCTGAATTGCAGCCTGGATACGAACGCCTCTGTTGTTTAAGATGCATGCAGCCTCGGGATCATAACTTTGCCACCACGTGTGTTTGCCGAGTGCCCAAGCATCTGAGGGAGGAGAAGGTTATAGAGTGTGTGCATTGTGGCTGTAGGGGCTGTGCCAGTGGAGATTGATTAGTGGTATGTCGTTCAAATTGTAATACTAGTGAGGATGTTGAACCGCATTATCCTTGGTACCGTGGATTGTTTGGAATTTGTAACTTTCAGCTGATCTTAATTAATCTGGGCCGTCCCTTTGTAAATGGTATTAGTAGTATGTGTTTCTTTGATCTGAACAACAGTTAGTTGTGTTTTCGACTAACTGCATCTTGAAAGCTGAAAGACTTTGGAGTTTTAGTGAAACTTTGTATCGATGAATGATTCTAATTCGTATTGCACTAGCAGCATGTCATTTTCTTTCCTTTAATCTTCGTGAGCAGTGTGTTTCACTCTCTTTATCCTAGTGCGAATTTCTCACCCTGTAATTTAGAAGAATTTATCATAATTATCTTATAGTTTGGCCAAAAAAGAAAATCCGTGAGTTAAACAATTAGTATTATTGTCTAGTGATATTTTGTTTTATTTGTAAATGAGAGGTATCATTTTCGACTCACATGGGTGACAATAACCTACAATATTTATGTTTAGTTTGATACTTAGTTATGTCAGACCTATTGTGTAACTTACCACAACCGTCCTCCCGTTAAATAATGTTAAGGACCTCGATCAAAATATTTAAACAAACAAGATTTCAATTTAACAATTAGGTTGATTAGAGACCGGAACCAAAATGACCTAAAAATTAATCCTCCTACTTCTTAAGCCTTCAAATTGATTAGCAAAAACAAAATTAAATTGGCTTGTGTTTGAAGCCTATGATTTTTATAGTCCTATAAAAATTTCCCACTTGGTGGATATTAAATTTCTGAATCGACCATTACCAATTTACCATATTATATAAAGTCCACGAGTCAGATGGTGCCTCCCCAACACTAATACAACGCCCTCCCAACGGCTACCCTTTTTAAATAAACATAATCAAGCAAGTCCCTTTCTTGCTGCCATCATTGCTTAGCTGTTTCTACCCTAAGCAAATTGGTGTGAAGAAAGCCGAACACAAACCTCGGGTACAGGAATAAACGCTCTACAGGCCTCTTGCATATCTTACCGAGATTACATTGAACTTAATAAGGTTTGATTCATTTTTTAATCTGCCTGCGTTTGACAGACCGTTGAAGAATTGAAGTAATTTTCTGCTGCAAGAATGAAAGTTTCATGACAAAGACGAGACAATGTTTGGTGTAGGGAATCTTTAGATAGCCCGAAATCAACGATACCGCAGTTTTTGTTTATAATAATCTTGTTTTGATGACCGCAGACCAGCATATGCTTGTAAAATGGTTCAAAGGAAAACTAAATACGCGTAACACTGACATATGAAACTATAATCTTGGTACTTAAGACCTCTTCTTTGTCATATACTGGTTGGTTTTAATGTTTGAAGTCTTGCCCAGATGGTGGTAGTGTTGATCAGTTCAGACTTGAGACTGCAGAGACAGAAACAGTTGCTGTGTCAACTTGGTTCAAAGTCGTCTCGCGTAAGTAGCTGGTTTAAGAGGGATCAGAAGAGCATCATCTGCTTGAGTACATAGTTCGATTATAGCTCGCTCACAGGTATATATAAGAGTTGACCCTTTTCGGACGGCTTCTAATTTTTTGTTTGTGGGAAGTGTTTTTTAGTATGGTCAATGAAGGGATTAAGGGAAGCTCAGTGAATGATTCTATTGTGAAACCAGAAAGCAGTCGGCAGAAGTTGATAAACGCATTGGCGATTCCAAGAAGTGAGGGGCAGGAGATGGAAGGAAGAAGGTTTTCGGACTTCTATAGGAATACAAGTGAGGAGTTGAGCCTGAGATCTTATATGGAGAGCCCAGTTGCAATGCCTCTACCAACCATGGAGATGCTTGGTTTTAAGAATTTGTCTCAAAACTTTCGTACTGATAGCGAGGAACTCTTCAAAAGCTGGCTCACAAATGGAGAGGCAAGCAGCAGTGTTATCCTTATCCTACATACTCATTTACTTGTTTTTCTGTTTGAAAGTTTGATCATTCGTTGAATGTCCAATAGAACATCTATCTAGGTTTGAGTCAGTTAATTGTTTCACATAAGATACACAAAATCCATTAGAAGCTGGATGATATATGGACTTGTGGGTTCGGTGCTCTGTCCCTTTCCTGATCGTCTTTTTTTGTTTGATTGACATGTAACTTTTTCCAGACCAATTGCCATAATTCGTCAAGCATTGCACATCGTACCCGATCACGGATGTAAGTAGTCTGCAGTTCGAGCAACCCTTAAATGGAAATCATGTGCTACGCCTTAAAAACGTTGTTATTTTCCAGACTGCATAGTGTTTTTTAACCTTCAGACTTCCGATCTTTGATCTTCTTTGCTTTCTTGTTATAAGCTCATAATTGCTTTGTGCATCACAGGATTTCTACTGAAATAGCTAGCTCGCCGGGTCAGCAACATGTCGGTATACTTCAAAAGAAAAGAAGCAACGATTGTTTGTATCCACCAATTAATACAATGCCTGATGAAATCTCGGGTGACAACAATCAAAGTTCAATCAGGTGGCTACTGCTCCCTTCTAATAAGCAGCCTTGTAGCATATACAAATTTCTTCACACGGTGACGATAACAATTTTCTAAGATAGTTACATTGATTTAATTTGGTCTCAATTTTTTCAGGCATGGTGTTGAACGAGGAATACAAGCTAGCGAGTTATACTTGGCCAAGGCATGTTAATATTGATTCCTGTCAGGATTCATTTCAAGGAAGCTTCATCTTGTATGTATCTGATATTTTCCTATCAATGCAGGCCTGGTTTCACAGTTCTCAACCAATGACAAGAAGCCGATCCTCTGAATTGCGGTAATTTTTATACACTTGTTTAAAGATAATAACCGCAGAATTGCTGTTAAACTGTCCTGGGGATGCAGTCCTTAATGTAGTTCATCTATTTTTTTTCTTATTTACTTCTACGGAGGGCACATGTCATCATCTCATTTCATTCAATGAGTATATATTAAAATACAGGAGGAGGTATGTCGCTATGCAAAACGCTCAAATGCCAGCAGGTCTGGAAGTCATGCAGACTGCTTCGGGGAATAGCAATCTAGCAAATCAGGATTTTGCGTTTTCAAATGGTTTCAATGACCCTTCTATTTGTGAGGTCAGCAACCAATTGGCGACCTTCATTTCTCCATCCAATTCATCATCGTCCACTTTCAACACCCCACTAATGAGTGAGATGGATAAGGTTTCATCTGTGGTGAGCATGCTAAAGGGTACCTTGGAGCGCAAAAAGCTTAGCAATCAGATCGAGAAACAAAGTGTGGATGATGATAGATCCAATGGACGTTTCTCTGTTCAGGAAGTTAGTTTCAACACCGGTTTTGATCAAGGGGAAAGGGATCAACTTCATGATATGGCAGCTGGAACATTTCAGGAAATATCCACTATCCAAGTTAATGGTCATAGAATTACACAAAACGTTGAAGGTTCACTGGATATTCAGATGGAAGGTTTTGTAAATATCACAAACCCAAATCCCATAAGCAGGACTTCCCAAGAACGTTCCCAAAGTGAATCATCTGCTGCTGCACCAGTAGTTTCATCTGGTTTTGATGCATGTGACGGTCCCAGCAATTCAGGTCAAACCCTGAGCATTTGTGAAAGTTCAATCAAACGAGCTGAAAGCTCTAGATCCAAAGGTGATCCTTTTTAAGTCACTGTTCCCTTTTTATGAAAATTGTATTGCAGACTCATATCGGTGACCGTTTAGCTTTTAGAAGCCTTTGAGTTATCTTATGCAAGTTCTGTTGACAGAGAACCAACATACAAAATAAATCGATTAGCCCGAGATACACACTTACCATCATGATACATCTTAAAATTGTGAAAGAACTATGATCGGAATTATCTTTTTGTTTCCATTTACCAGAGTAAGTGAAAATTTGTACAAAATTAAAAGACTATCAGCACAAAATGTAACTGTATGCCTGTGCAGATGTTTCAGATGCACACCTTTCTTTCTCCGCTTGTGATTAAAAATGTTTATGAAGACATATTAGCACTACTAATAAAAAGTTAATTCTGGTAAGCGTCTGTCAGCGTTTCATGTAACTAAATTATATATCTTGTCGTGGAACTACAGATGTCAGAGAACGGATAATTGGAAATTTGAAAGATGATCAAAAGGTATACTCTACTCTTGGACATTGAGTACAGCATGTTATTATGAAAACATCTAAAACATTTATCAAGTTTCATTTTTCTTTGTTCTTTAACTTGGCATATTTCACAGAGTGGGAAACGTTTAGACCGCTACGGATCAGTGACATCAGCTGTTTCAGGTATCCAATTATGACTAAAACTTCATCATAGTGAGTTAAGGATTTGGTGTCAATGTTACCTCTATGAATAAATTAAACCAGAATGTTCTTGGTTCTTAAAGCATACTTATGAATTGAACTTTATGAGATTTTAGAATGGAATGTACTCTAGTTGATGGGACAAGAAAAACCAAACTCTTTACTTATGATGTGCAACACATATAACGGAAGGTTCTTATGTTCGAGGTGAACTAGGAAGCCTTTGGACTTGCCTGACATTTTTTTCCCCTCATGGTATTCTCTCTAACCAAAACAAAATGTTATGCAGTGGACAAGGAGGATGCAACAAAAAAACGCAGGGTGGAGAGGTCACGGAAGTAAGTACAGCAATACCTACAACGGGGGATAGTATTGTTTTCCCCCCAAAAAAACTTCTCTTCTTAGAACTTTAGATTTTCTTTTCTTTATTTATATATTCTTGTTAACAAATGGGAGCAGATTTAGTTAATTGGCTATCCGTTGAATCTTGATTCCAGTTTTTTTTTTTCAAATTTGGATGCTCATATATGAGTTAAGGATAAATGGGTTGATTTTAAGCACACGGGTTCACATAAGATACGATAGCAGAAAAAACACGCGCATACTTATCTCACATACTGTCTGACATCAAATTGATCGCATTGAAGAGTGAACTTTTCGTATTGAAGATTGTAACTTTTGTTAGGAATTCTAGGAGGAGAAGTTGAGGAGGATTTTATGTTAAAATCAGTGAGCAGGTTCAAGTGATGCCAGAACATATCTTTGAAGGCAACATGAAGCAATAGAAATTATCTAGAAAGTGCTACTTGTGTTTTAGAGATGAGAAGGTTATATTTACGTTAAGTTTTTGTCGATGAAGAATGGCGGAGGCAAAGGGAAGGAACTCAACTCCAGTAATTCCATCTGATATGCAATCTGTCTTGAAGCGGTGCGAAAATCTTGAAAAGGAAGTGCGATCACTCAAACTGAACTTGTCCTTCATGAATAGGTAACGAAACAGATTAGCTTTCATTTCCTCAGAATTTTCTACTTTGATGTTTCCGCGTACGAAGCAACTTTTTTATTCTTTCACTCAAGTCACATTATGCATACAACCGTTGAATATCCGTATCTAAGATGGAATGGTGCAGTTGTTTGCTAAATGACATGAACTTTCTAGTTGTATTAATCAAGATTTTTATGGTTCAGAAACTTGCTGTGCGTTAGAGCTGCTAACTAACTTCTGTTAATAGGTTTCGTTCGTCCGAAACTTAGTTAAGTCTCTCGGTTAAGTGCTAGAGCTAGTAAATTGTCGAGCAAAGTCTTTGGAAAGTATTGCCAGTTAGATCAAATCAACTGACAGGGTCTTTTTGGGAGCACGAAAGCTTTTGGTTTGACTGCTAGAAACACGCCTTCGTGTTCTATCTGAAACTTTATTGATTATCTAAGTGTTACCTTGTTTCAGGAAGGATTCTGAGCAGACTACGCAGATAGAGGAGCTGCAGAAGCAAAATGAAGATCTAATGGATGAAAAAGAACGGCTCGTGGAGGAGATAGAGAGAGTCCTTTCAGAAACTGGCAAAGTTTGAAACTCATCAACTTCTGGTTTGCAGTTAACTTCAGGATCTTGAGAATTTATACAGGTTCAATAAGGAAGACAAAGCAAGCAGACAAATGTCAATGCTTGATGCACAGTAAATTTATATATATAACTAAGCTACTTAGACGTTCCTCCCGACTCTCACAAAGCAGGGAGTTTTGCTAGGTTAGGGTTGCCCTTTTTATATAACTAAGGTCAGGTAAAACGGTAAAGCTTTTTCGTAACTTTGGAAATTCTAGAGTAAGGAAGACCAAGCTGCTTGTGTTTCAATTTTTCTGTCGCATTAGGTGCGAAGGTCAATTTGAAATGTATACTGCATGAAATAATTTGGGCAACGGCAAATGGAGGTTACTTCGTCTTATACAATGATATTCTGGTAAGGCAAGCTGGCTTTAGGCCAAGCCACAATGACCTAATTACAACTAAGTATCGAATTTAATATAAATGTTAAATCATTCTTGTCATTTATGTGAGTTGAAACTGAGAATCATCACGTGTAGTACACAAGCTTTTAATAACTTAGAATCCTTCTAGTTCTTCGTGGTGTTTGTCTAATTGGGTGCTTGAGTTGATTTCATCGAAGCCACTTTTAAACCATAAAAAGTTAACGAAGAAACTTAAATTAAACTCTATAATCCTATATTAGTAAGTTAAATTAGTGAAAATCTGGTGTAATATATGAAATTTCTCAAGAAATGCATGCAAGACTTACCACTTGATTTGGTTTTCTGAAAAAAAAAAAAAAAAAAAAATTGAAAAGAGGGAACACCAAACACCAAGGGGTAAAATAGAGAACTAGTGGATTGCAAGTAGGAAATTGCCTTGGTGGATATGATCTTCCTCTTCAAAGTTAAAACTACTCCGTCCGGATTTCAAACAATTTAATTTAAGTGTAGATTATCCTATTATTTGCAAGGAAACAAAACAATAAGTTAGTAATTGCTTTAAAAAAAGAGAGAAAATTAGACATTTTGCATACAGAAAAGACACTTGGTGTGCAAATATAGAGAGAGAGAGAGAGGTGGCAATTAATGGTGCGCATGGAGTGACCTTTGGCTATTAAAAAGTGTGATTAGTTTTTAAAATTTAAAAAAAGTATGAAAAAATGATTGTGGAACAATTTCTCTTAATAAATGCATATTTTATCTTAATATTATATAATTACTGTTTTGTCCTCCTTATGTAAATATTATGTATCAAAAGTGAGGGTAAAATAGGAAAATAGGGATATGATTGTCATTTTATCAAAAGATACGAAATTACTATTTTACCCTCCTTATGTAAGTATTGTGTATCAAAAGTGATGGCAAAATAGGAAAAAAAAGGGCTAGTGCATATTTTATCTTAATAGTACATAATTACTGTTTTGTCATTCTTATGTAAATATTGAATATAAAAAGTGAGGGTAAAATAGAAAAAATAGGAATATGATTGTCATTTTATCAAAAGATACAAAATTACTATTTTACCTTCCTTATGTAAGCATTGTGAGGGCAAAATTGGAAAAAAAAAGTGACAAAAAGTTGACAAGAAGGGTTCTCTTAGTAATAGTATAGATAAACTTAATCTCATAATATCGTTTTTTTTTTTTTTGTTAACTTAATTTGATCTCTACCGTCAGGAATTGATTTTCAAAACTCCTTAGTTGCTTTGTCTTCAAATTTTCGGCATTTCTCTCAAGAACCTAAGTTGCTTCAAGGTGAGTCCCTAAATCTATTCCTACCATACTCATTTTCTTTGGATCTCTAGATTTATTCCTTTTAGACTTATTTTCTTTGTTGTCCGATAAGTTCATATTATACCATATATTTTATCCTATTCTTAGTTATAATTTATTGGTTATTTTGGTAGAACTTTGATACTTTGTTATTTATTTTCAATGTAGGACATTTGACTTCATCTGGAGCAAAAAGTGATCAAACGGATGAATTTTGGAGTGATTCTAATTGGAGGATGCTCGTCAGTCTTTCAAGATGATTGTATCAAATTTCCACATTTTTCTACCAAGCTGTTTGACCGTGGTGGTGAAAAGAAGGCCCAGCGCGCAACTTTCCCAGATTGACATTTCTAGACATTTTGGGTATTTTTGAGGTCAAGATGACATATTTTGAGGAAGACTCCTTCTGAGGATTTGTTGGGGACGTCTCAAGCTTTAATAAGAGACCTTTTGGGATGAAATCGAAGTTGATTTGGTGGGTCAAACGTCTGATTTTCTAAGAAGTCCAAATTTCAGTTCAAATAGAAAACCTTTTATTTCCTAATTATCTTATTCTATTATGTTTCTTAGTTTTTAGAAGACCTTTTCTAGTAAGAATTTTATTTTGTAGTAGTATAAATAAGGCTATTTAGCCATTAGGAAAGGGAATGCATCAATTTGGAGAACTTAGTTAGGCTTTGACGATTTGTATTTCAAGGTGTTTTCTATTCTTTTTCTATTTCAATCAAATTCCTTTTGTTTTATGGTTGTTAGTAACTAATTTTCATTTGGTAGGGTGATGCCTTGAGCCTTAGTATGAATATGTAATTTTTATTTAATTACTTATGATATTATGCATGCATACTTTGAATTATTAATCACTGTGTTTAAACTGTCTTTGTGTCTTAATGATTCGTGACCATTATGATGCTTAGATAAGTAATCGGATGCATTCGGTTGGAATACCACCAGGGGATTGAGTATTGCTTCTTGTGATTGATAGTTGTAATTTCACCTAGGGTGAATACCTTAGGGGTTGCATGGTTTTTCAAAGGGTTTTCACAAAACGTAATAAGTCATGCAAGTTTATATTTGTTCTGAATACCATAGACGGATTACATGTTTGATATACGTTCTAACTTAAATAGCACGAGTAGAATATGCATTAGGAAAACCTAACCTTCAAAGTTGCACATGTAATTCATAAGTAATTGGTAAATCTACATAAGATTGTTAAGGTGATGATGGAATCCTAGTGTCCATTTATCATTATTTTCTAAGATTGTTCCCTTTCAAATTGGTTTTCTTTAATTGTTTTAATTTAAAATTCGTTTTTAATATTCTAGGTCATAAAATCAACATTTTCGAAACTTTGTTTTAAATAGTTAACTAAGAATTAGTTTAAATACAAATTATTCAATCAATCCCTGTGGAAACAACCTTGCTTGAGCCGTTTATACTACAACTACCTTGTTCTCTTGCAAGTATTTTTAAGTATTTTTATCCCTACTTTTGCAGGTGGTAAAAGTCTTATCATTGTCCACTAACATTAAGTTTTGCATGTCCAAATCTATCGGTGATATTTAGAAATGTAATTTAATCGAACTCTGTAAGAATAGAAAATCTGACATGTGCATATCCTACAAGAAATAGGTTTGGAAAACAAATTACTTGGTATTCAGCATGTAAACTTTTCGTGTGTAAGAGTAAGATCATGCACTTGGATCTTTTTTATTTCATCGATTTTGTTAATATCCTCATTTTCTTTGAAAAAAAATAAAGAAGGGGAAGGATCTTCTTCGGGAGGATCCCTCTTGTTCTTGTTTATTCCACCTTGTTTTGGAAGTTGTCTTTAATTCTACATAGGTTTCTTCCTCACTTTCTCATCTTTCTTTCGTTCATGAGGTTTCTTTCAGTTTATAGTAACAATGGGTGACAACATTGGGCTTAAATATCAAACACAACTGAAAATTTCATTCGTAGGTTTTTCCAAAAGGTAATCAAAGGATAATAATTATTTCATAGCACATTAGGATATTGGATGTTCTTAGTAATAGTGGGTAACGATATTGTGTAAATACAAGAAATAACTAAAAGAATATTAAAGATTTCAATCATAGATTTTCCGAATTGATCATTACATGATAAGAACTTTTTAGATTTGTTCAAATTAAGGAAATGGTAATAACTGATTAAAATAGAGGTAATTACAAAATTTGCATGCATCAAGCACACTAGTACGAATATAAAGAGGGCGAGAAGTGGCAATTTATGGTGCCATTAAACTGACCTTTGGTAATTTGTGAAGATTTGAGATGCATGACACTATGTATTCAAACAACGAATTTTTAGGTTTATTTATTTATTTATTCTGAATCTAGTCTTATATAATAGTTAAATACTGAACCGATTTTGAATTTTGATTAATCGTTGTAAAGACGAACTTTTGACAAATGCTTAAATAAAAATTGAATGTTTAGCTTTGCCTTAAGTTACTAATTCGTACTAGAGCTCTACTGGCTTATTGAAGGTTCGATGCCTCCGAATATTTTCCAAAAGATAATTTCATAATTATCTATTTGCTTTTATAAAAAAAAATGTTAAATTTTTTTTTCAGTTTTAATTTTTTAAATTAATTTGAAGGATGGTCTGTTTGAGTGTCGAATAATTTTAGGGTTTTGATAAATTCAGACACTACAATTTACCCCTTTTCCTCGTTGTTGTGCTTCAGTAGCTGAAGAGAGAAAAAGGGACATGGCGAGCGAAAATGTTCACGCAGCTGCAAGGTCCGGTAATCTTCCTTCACTGCAGTCAATTCTCGCCTCCAACCCTCTCGCCGTCAATTCCAGAGACAAGCACTCCAGAACTCCGTATCCTTCTCCCTCTCTCTCTCTCTCTCTCTCTCTCTCTCTCTCTCTCTCTACACACACTTCACTGCCTGTAAGAATGAATATATGAATGAATTTGCTTCAATTTTTGAACGCCATGATGCTATGAATCGCATAAACCGAGCGCAGTGGCGTTGTAGGGTAATGAATGGCCGAATCCTTTGCATCGATTATCCGAAAAAGATGTATTTAGTCGCCGCATTGTTCATATGGATGTAAAGATTTGTTCTTCAAATGTGTTCTTAGTTACTCGACTTGCTTTACTTTCCGGGCAACTTAGAAAGTGGCTGGCTCGGGTTTTTGTGTTGAGTACTTATTCATCGTTAAATTTCCTAGTTTCCTGAAATCTTTTCGTTCTAAGTTTCTTGCCTTGTTCAAGTTTAATCTTCGTATCGTAGTGTCCAGTGTCCACAATGTAGAATTCAAATTATGTTTCCTTGACAAGTGGTTTTGATCAAAGACTACATTTAGCGGCATGGTCTGGCCAAACGGAGGTGGTGAATTTTCTCTGTAGCCACAAGGCGGATGTTGGTGCTGCTGCTATGGACGATATGGGTGCTATACACTTTGCTGCCCAAAAGGGACATTTAGAGGTCGTTCGCACTCTGCTTTCATCTGGGGCTTCTATAAAAGCTTCCACTCGCAAGGGCTTCACTCCGCTCCACTATGCTGTTCAAGGGTCTCATGTCGAGCTTATCAAGTATCTGGTAAAGAAAGGTGCCAATCTGAGTGCGAAGACAAAAGCTGGGAAGACCCCTCTTGATCTTGCTAACAGCGATGATGTCCGCTCTTGTTTAGAAGAGTGTGAAAGGTCATCCAAGACAGAAGATATGGATGGTAAACAGAAAGATAAAGAATCTGATCCAAAGACATCTGTGCAGGAAGAAGTGAAACCGGAAGGTGAAGCTGCAACTTCTGGGAACAATAAACAGGCCGAGGATGAAAGTCTGAAGCGGAAGGGAGACAAAAATGACGCTGAGGAAGCCGTAGGGGAACGTAAAAAGGCCAAAGTTGCACTGAATCATCTTCTAACTGCCGATGACATGCAAGACGAGGAGGAATGAAGCTGCTAGAAGAGACTAATGTGGTAGAACGACCTTAATCAAGCAGCTAACTGCTGTAGCCTAAGCAACATGTAGCTCTTTGTACTATGTTTATAGGGTATCATCGGTTAAAGACTTGTTAGAAAGTGTTCTTTTTGTTTCTCCGTCTTTCCAAATAAAAACTTGTGTTTCAAAGTCGTTCTCTGTTGCCTTTTACTTTCGTTGTTGGGCAATGGCTCGAATTGGTTTACGCTAGGCTAATACAGAGTTTACTCAATCATGTATGCCTTCATGGTTGCAAAAGCTCTGTATGTCGAAGGTTGCATTTGGCAACTGTTTTCTTCTCTGCAGATAGCTTACTGTCTGACTGCGCACTTGTTTTTGCCACCCTCAAAAATTGCTAGTGTGCAACTGAGACACTCTGTGCCTAGCAATGGACATGAGAGACCATGGATTCAGCGTATCATTTTTCTGTCTAATGTCGAGGAGGCCATCACAAGCTCTAAGTAAACTAACTTCATGGGTAAGGATCGTCTATGCTATGACTTTCTCTTACTCGTAACCAGTTACCTTCATGGAAACGCACTCACAACCCTCGAAAAAGGACTCTCTTATTGGCGTGGAAATCAAAACAAATCCAATGCAAGTAGGAAATTAAGATCTTAAATTAGAGGGCAAGAAGGAAATTAAGATCTTGATATATTAGGCTTTAATTTTGTGAACTAATTAATTATTTAGGGCTTAACTCAATAGACACATTTGGCACAAAGCTAAGCACTGGTCTAAATTATTTACTAGCGTTAACATTCAGCCACTCATGTACAACCCAATGAATTTGTGTTTGATCATGTAACCACAAATATGCTTTGAAATGCAGTTTTCTGTTTAGTAATGAAACCGCAACAAGCTATTGTTTCAAATCGCTTTTGATCCAATCAGTCGTTCTTGTTCAAGATCCGTCGGAGTCTTGATTGCTTTCGTCACCACTATACATGCCTGAAAACACAAACCAACAACGTAAAAAACCTGCATATGAAGGTACGAGGGCTCTCAAGGTATCATAATTCATATAAATACTTTTGCACGTTATATTGAAATAGAAACTGAATTCGATTCCCCCTCCCCAAATCGCTTGTCACCGTCTAGTTTGGAGACGCGCAAGTATTGTCATACTTCTTACTCGAACTTACCCAAACATAGTTCGAGACACGCAAGTATTGTCATAATTCTTACTCAAACTTAGGTGGAGATATGCAAGTAATGTCATATTTCTCACTCAAATTTGGAGATATGCATTCTGCAGCTGTTTATTAAGTGTTACATTTGCTTATTAGGTCGACATTTACGAGTCTGAAGATTAATTGATCCAACAATGTTCCACCAAAATAGATGAATTAGCACAAGCATCTGAACTCCTTTGAATACATTAAAGATGTCTCCCTTGTTCTAGCAATTTATTAATATCCCATCACGAGCATCCATCCGAAACTCTACGACTGACAACCTACTTTCCCTCCTTTTTTTCTTTCTCAAATCTAGTACAGCTTGTAATGATGTAAATCTATGTATAGCATATGCGGTAAAGCAAAACAGCATAATCAGACGCTTAAAAACACATAAAACTGAATTATCCCACCAGCAGTAAACAGTTTTAAAAAGTAGAACACTCACCTAAGGTTTTCAGTGATAATATTGCAAGGACAATTGATTGCTAATTTGTTTGAATGCCATAACGTCTGCGAAGAGCATCAATTTGTTTCTCAAAGGACTGCGAAAGCTCAGCGATTGATGTTTTGCAAGCTGAAAAGTATGAAATACAACCCAGAGAAAAAGTACTCAGAATGAATAACAGTAGTTTATACATTGTTGGCTCAAGTTAGATTGTTAGTTCAATCTTCTTTCTCTTCTCCGCAGTTATACAATATCTTGTTTTTGATCAATGATTTGCTTCTTAGAACAAAGGCAACTAGGCAAACAAGAAAACTCAAAAGGGACAGAGCCTAAAACCCCACCTGAACAAGCTCCACCGTAGGGCTGAGAACTAATTAAAAAGGAGCAGCAAAGAGAACAAAAAAACAGAAGCTAAACAGAAAACAAAACAGCTAACTGAAGAACCTAAGTTAGCACACTAAATAGTTAGCCATTATCACCCCAATAGTTTTAATGGCAATGTGAAACTTACGAGATAAGGAAATGTTATCCAACCTGTATCACTTCGAACATGAGATTAAAAACGATTTCCACATATGGACACAATAATCACTCGTCAAAGCCTCAAAATGAACGACATCTCTTAAATGTTTTGATGAGAATGTAACATAGAATGTTGGTTGGTAGAGATGATTGATTCCAGACTCCATCAGTACGACATTATTACCAAGACATAACTTACAAAAAATCCACATATTTTAAGCATGTCAGAGAGGTTTTAAACTGAAGACATACCACGAGAAGCGGTGGTCTGTGCATCTGCCATGAACTCTGCATACGAAGCCTGATACAAAAGCAGTAGGATGCACTTGATGAATAAGCACTACAAACATACAATCAGAAGTAAGTAAACGAAACAAAGAAAGACTAGATTCCCGACTTTCAGTAATCCTTTGGGTCATCTTCTTGTATTCCTTATCTGCTTCATCCAACACTTGTTGGCATGCCTGGTTCTGGATCTGACGGTACAAAGAGACGTATAATTAGGCGAAAAAATCGTGCCCTAGACTGAATTCCAATGCTCCTCTTCCCTAACTATTACTACCACTGAGTACTAGCTCATCATACAGCAGACAAAACCTTATATTAAATAGACATAAAGTTTTAATTATAAATAAGAATTAATTAGATTTAAATTTATTTTGCTTTAGCAGACCTTATAACAGTAATGAGGTTTAACAATGATATGAAAGTGAGATTAAATCAACATAATGTTATTATTTGGCGAAAATTCAAATTTCTGTTCTCTCAGGTATTTTCTTAGCAACCAAACAGACACTAATCCACCAACTCCGAGACTAAATAATGCAAAAGTACGACAACAGAGAATCAATATGAGAGAGAGAGAGACCTTGAATCGCTTGTGGAGGCGAGATTGAGAGGAATCAAAATCCTTGAGGATCTCAGAGTGGGATCTGTCGACGTGGAGCTTGAGATCTCGGAGACGAGAGGAGCCGAGGTGCTTGAGATCAGGAATCGAAGCTAAAGCGTTACTTTTGGGGGATTCCATGAGCGCCGCCGTAACAGAGGCTGAGGCTCCTCCTCCGGCAGCGTCGGCCGCCCTCTTGCGCCTGCTGCTGGTATTGAAAATTGGCGATTTCGGTGACGGTTGGTTTGCAGGGGAAGAAGCCACTGGAAATTGTAACCGCGTTTCCAGAAAGTTCGCGGTTAAGCATCTCCGGGTTCGACTTCCGCTTCCGCTTCCGCTGCTTTTCTTCATCTCTCCGGTCGCTTACTCGTCTTCTTTCAGTTTTTTCCTTTCTCAGCTCCGTGTTTTGAAAATTTTAAATTTTCTAAGAAAATGGAGTTGGCGCCTTGACAGGTGCCTATTTATATGTACGGGATTTTACACGCACATTTTGGGCTAACAATATACAGAAATAAAAAATAATAATTGTATCGACCTTCAATGAATTTTATCATTTTCTTTTGTTGGATATTATTTGCTAAATAAAAGGCAGTGAAGTTGCAAAATCTACACTAGAACATTACACTTGATGCAAACTAAAATGTACGGGTGAGATTTAACGAAACAGATATTATATATTCAATAATCTTCATTATTATTTCGGTGCATCACGGGTAATGTTGTATTTGGTATATCGTTTTAATAACGGTTAAGGTACTTGAAACACCATAATGATGTGTTTTGTGCGGATTTGGAGGGAACTCCATTTGTCCGTTCCTTACACCTAAGTTTGAATTTCTCGTACATTAGGAATAACGCTTTGTTAAAAAAAAAATGTGTTGCAAATTCAAGGAACCACGGAACGTTTCAATTGCATGATAGATTAAAAATTCAAGTTTATAATCTCTTGGGCAATTCTGAATTCAATGTAATTTCAAGATCTTTTAATCAAATGATGCATTAAAACATGAAATTTGAAATGATGGAATTATAAAACCAGAACGCAGAAGTTATAGGAGACTAGGAGCTGGTGAAATTTCTTATTTTTGTATGCCACCTCCAAGGAGGGACATGCAATAAACATCCCTCCCACAAGTCACAACATGCCATCCTACATTTCAAAGTTTCTGCAAATGTCCTCTCCGGATCTCTGTGTTCGAGCAATGCAATTGTATAGGGTAGCGAGCAGTCATCACTTCAACACCAACGTCCTGCAGTTGTGAGTATACAATGGCTTTGCATATATATTGAGGAGTGAGGACATACTAATGTCTTATGGCGCCAACACTTCCCTGATTAGCACCGTGAAGATCTGGGAGGTCGGCGCTGACGGAGAACTTGATCCACCTCTTTTTCTCAACGTAAGTGAGACATGGCTGCATCACAAGGCCGATCAAAATAGCGACAAGGCTCACAACTACGATCTTGAGTGTTGACAGAGCCAAAACTACACAAATTAGAGCAGTTGGAGGAATACACATAAGAATGGCTCCATCTGTTCGAATGGGTATCTTGTAAGGACGGGATGTAGCTGGGTACTTAATCCTTAATCGTATGAATGATATGAACTCCAAAATAATTCCAAAACAGTACAAGAAGTTTTCTGCGGCTACAATCTCTTGAAAGCTCAACCAAGATAGCGAAAGGACCCCAGAAGCTGAGAACAAAATGCCAATTACTTGGGTTCCATGACGAGAACGCTCACCAAAAAACTTAGGGAGCATCCCTCGTTCTGCCATCCCAAGAAGTTGGAAGGAGTCGCTGCTCATTTCAGCAACAAACATCCCCATGTTCGACACTGCTGCAGCCCCTTGGATCCACCATCTCAACCAAACTCCCCCAATTATTTTGGCAATGTCTGAGAAATATCCATCTGTCCACAACTCACGGTCGATTGGAACAGCCCCAGTACCCATTAAGGGTGGGAAGAGATATCCAAGAACAACTAATATCAAAGCGTAAAACAGAGCCTTTGGGAGAGTTTTCTTTGGGTTTTCTACCTCTCCGGCAAGTGTACTTATCGAGTCCCAATAGTTGAGATTCCAAAGGAGAGTGTTGAGATACAAATTCCAGTCCACATTGTGTAGATTTACAACTAGCCATCTCGAGGGCTTCACGTTGGAATCTGCAGGTCCACAATGTAAAGCTGCACTTCAAGAAACTACTCGTATCATTGAACAAAGTCTAACAACTAATGGAAAAGCAATAAGGGCGTTGTTTGGTGCAACCCAGGTTGGAATTTCACACTTTGCACCCACCATTTGTAAATCATGAGTCCAGTTCCCACCGGTGGGATATATTTTTTTTTTTTTTCACTTGTCACTTGCATATTGACCAAGTCTGTGTGCAGCTTGGCATTGATGGTGACTTCATGTATTTTCTGACGGATGCTGGTGTTATAGCGGTAAAAGTTACTTCTTTCTTAGTTTTGTCACTCCGTTTTCAGTTTAACAAATTATTGATGTTTATTTGCTTGACACTTTGCAGTTTCAATATAGAAATCCCGATAGAGTGAGTTGCAAAGGCGAGGGATAGAGATGAAAGAGAGGGAGAGGGAGAGGGAGAGTGAGAGAGATTGAGAGTTTTGTCCGAGAGACAAACAAATTTTTGGACGGTGGAAACGGTCCTGGTCGGGGACCCGTTTCCTTAGCAATTAGGACTCGCCCCACTCCGTCCCGTTCCAGATTTAAAAAAAATTGGACCCTCCCCTACCCGCAGGTCCATGCCCGTTTGCCCACCCCTAGTTGTGATTGTTGTTGGATATCATATAATATTATTACAATGTCTAGGGTTTGGGAATTGTTATAACTTTAGGGGAGGTTCTGCTGAAATTTTGGTATACTTTGCAGTGTTTGTCTGACTGTTTTTTTTTTTTTCAGCAAAGAAAAATACCCAGGGACCGTGTCGCAAGTTGAAGATGGCGAAGGTCACCCAAGTGACCAACGGACGTATCACGATCAGATACGATGGCTGACATCAGGCTGCACCAACGCTGGAGCAACATAGTGCATTGGCCCACGACATTGTTCACGTCGTTCAGACCTATTGCCCTATGCGATAGAAGTCTTGAAAGGCGATGCCAGATAAGGTGAGGATGAAGGTGCGCACTTATTTGTCGATAAGTATCCTGCTTTTTTATTGCTTTTTTTTTAATTTTATATATTTATATTACTTAATGTATGTAATTAATTTGTTACATTGCAAACGAATTACAATTTTGATGACATCAACAACAATATGTTGGTGTACGTCAATAGGCTCTTCACTGAACGATACAAGCAGTGGAAGAGAGACATGCACCAATATTTTCTGACATTTGATGATTCGCAGGTCGCTCTTGAGGAGGGTTGCCCGAAAGAGTTTGAGGATCGGGAAAAAATTGGGTGTGGCTCTGTAGTCATTTTCAGGAGCCCGGTTATGTGGAACGTTTTTTATATTTTTTATATTAAGTCTAAAAGTATTATACGTTTCTTACTAATGTTTATTAATCTTTTTATATTTCATTTAAATTAGAACTAATACATTTTTTTTTTGTATAAAAGAAGAAGACGAAAGCCAACAAAATCAATCGAGAGAAGAAGACTCTTCTCCACCATTCGGGTTCGAGGCCCTTCTCATATAGGATGGAGGCACAGTGACAGGTAATAATAAAGTTTTTCATATTCAATTTTTAATATGTCAGTAATATTAATTTTTCTTTCATACTTCAAGAAATCCATTGAAAACTTACTAAATTGTCTAACACTTGGGCAATTTGATTCTTACTGTTGGAGGAAAGATCAGCAGTTTTCAGTTATACTGCCGAAAGGAAGAATACAAGAGAATATACATGGAGGATGAGTTTTGAATGGGGACTGAAATTTACTTAACTTTATTGTTTTCAGTTTTTTTATTACAACACTAGGCCATCTTATTGGCTATTTATAATAACATTCAGACCTTTCGATAACAGGCATAACTCTTGGATTAGTTCCAAGAGACACAACTCTACATTACAGAAAGTGCATTACATTTAACACTTACATCATTGACTTGATCCTAGTTGATCTAAGGGTGTTACATAAATCCTCCTTAGTTTCCTGAGTAATCCTCTCTAGTTCCTGCTGAAATCTCTCCATGGCCGAGAATGGCAAACACATTGGTACCAATATTCCATCCTCGGTGTCTTTTTTGTGTTGAACGTAGAAGCTAATCAAATCCAAGGCCTTGGCGGGTCCAGCAAATACCGGTTGTCCCCATCCAAAATCGACATCTCCAAAACCTGCACGCGTATTATCAGAAACTATGAAATAACTTCCTGTTGATGAATATTGAGGTCGCCCTCTTAGTACCATAAGATCTGCCACTGATCTTAAGTATTCTTCATTCATGGTAGCTTTAGCCTTCTTCACCAACTCCAAAGCATATCCCAGTGGATTTTTGCATAGAGGTTCAGCCTTTGAAACTGCAGCTGGAAATGCAAATGCATTGCCATAGTATCCCAAGGGAAGATGTACATTGTGGTGTTTTCCCCGTGCATTGACAATGCATGAAATGCGGACAGCCTGTTTTGGATTAATTTTAAGTGCAAGAGTGCGACATTTCCACAAACAAGCTGTGATCAAGTCAAATGTGGAGCAAGTGGAAATTAGTTGGGGTGGAATCTGTTTTCGAAGGACTCTCATCTCCTTGGCACCAAAGTAGAAAGATTGTTGAACCATGTTTGACTGGTTACTAGATGGGTATGAGCCATTAGAATGATCAATCACGTCTTCATATTCATGATGAGCACATGTAATTCTTGGTGGATCTCGAGCGAACAAGAACTCTCTCTCCCACACTGGTAGAATAGATGGTGCATGTGCGCCTTTTGCCATTTCCGCAACGGCGGTCAGGAACAAGAGCAATCCAGCTGCGTCACACATTGTGTGGTTTAGGCACAATGCAAGTATGAAACCTCCACATGTAAGACAGGTCACCTGCATATTGCAAAAGTTAGTTTCTAGACTTTTTTCTTGATCATCATATTCGTGCTAGTTAACAATTCTTTAGAAGAAAAGACAAAAACAAAAAAACAAAAAAAAAATAGAAAAACCATCTAAATTAGATGATCTAATTAGGAAACAAAAATTTCATAAAAATTAGGAATAAAATTCAAGAAAGATGGAGTCTCTTTGAAAGAGTCTCATGCCTGTTGAAGTTACTTGAAAGAGTCTTTAAATATAGAGGAATTTAGACAAAATGCTTATAGAAGAGAAAAATTTAGACAGAAGACAAAGACGACGACATGACGACATGCAAAAGACCTAGAAGAAGAACGCCAAAGGAAAACCTACACAATAAAAGGTGATGTGAGACTGGTGAAATATAATTTCCTCTATCCGGTGTGTATACAAATTTTGCAATGTATAGTGTTAAACATAAGGATTGTCGAAGAAAAATTAGTTTCGAAAAATAATGAAAAGCGTCTCATAATCTTTTCTTTCCAAAGCCACCTAGTGACTTTCCTTAATCATAAGAACAAAGAGGCGTGGTAGTATCGTAGATAAGTTCAAGTTTGGGTGTGGTGGCAGTATGATTAATTTTCGTTTATGAAAAGGGATGCCAATTTTATGAAAAAAGTTAAAAACAGTTGTGGTGCCACCAAACTTTACAATATTGTTAGTGCTTTCTTGTATATGTCCTTATTTGTCATTAAAAATTTCATATGTTGTTGATTGCACTAATTTCTTACAAAAAATCTACGGTGTGTGTATGCGACCTTAACGCAAAAAACACTACTCATACCCTTAACCTACTTCAAATTTTTTGTAAAGAATTAATGGATATGACCAAATATGAATATGAAAAACTAAATAATGTAATTGATAATTAATTAACTCACCTGAACCAGCAGCAAAGGACAACCAATAATTCCATCAGAGCCTGGAAAATTAAATAAGAACTCATCTAATAATGGACAAGGGGGTAGAATTTTGTCTCCTAGTTGCTCAAGTGTGACATCAGCAGAAGCCTCAACGAACAAGATACCTTCACCATTGCAATCGACCATGAGCTTTCTGTTAGGCCCTTCCCTAAGCCTTCCAGCTAAAGGGTAGTAATACACTAATGCTCTACTTAAGGCTTCCCTAATCACCTTAACGGGATTACGATTTTTATTAAGTGAAGGGTTGTTTTTGTAACACATTATAACTGGAACCTAAAATCTCAAGCTTTCTTGGTCGTCAATATCTGAGAGAAACTTTGTTTCCTGAGGCGTTAGCTTTGCCGGAGTTATAAGTTCCGGCTGCAATCGTTTCACCTGAAGTACTGAGGGTGGCATCATTTCAATAACGAGCTTAAGAACCAGCAAAAGATCAAAGGTTTTGGAACTTTTATTTTGTGGTATGCATGCTAACTAAAAGTTGATAGTCAGTACTTATATAGCGTTATGCAGATGCTACAGGGTTCTCGATTCTTCCGTCCAAGTTTTCACCTGTTGTGATTGTGATTCTTTTCTTTTCCATTAAAAATGTTGTTAGTTGTTAGAAAGAAACGTTTAAATTACGTGGCCAACATGGACTCCAAAGAAAAACATGTCGTTCAGTTATGTGCATGGGACCGTTTCACACTTCACACCACAAATTCGTGCATATGCATTAATTCTGAATTTCATTTCAACATCAGAAAACTGAATACTAACAGGGATATGAGGACAAGTGGCCGGTAGAAAACCTTTGATAGGAATGGAACGAAAAAGGCCAACATCGTAGTACGGGAAAACGTTGAGACGTCTGCTATAAATGAAAACGTTGTTGTTTTATAATGACTGGCATATTAGCACGGGAGAATATTATTAATTTTGACTGGTCTGGTATGGTGACTACTCAATTATGAGCACAGATTTTTTTTTTAATCTAAAAAAATTGAGTCTAAGACTCAAATAATTCGGATCGTTAAAATTTGATCTAACGATTATAAAGAGAAGATCTCTCAAAGTAATAATAATCGTAACCATTAGATCAAATTTCAACAATCAAGATCAATTGATCCTTAGGCTTAGTTTTTTTAGATCTGGAGAAGATCTGTACTTCTCAATTATCTCATGATAAATGTTTGTTATGATGAAGAAAGTTGAGGCTTCGTAAAATTAATCGATAATATAGGAAGCAGCTTAATCACTTATAAGCAGATGCAAGGTCCTCTTTTATCCGATGTGTAATTCATACTCCCAATATGACCCTTTATGTGTGTCGAATTTTTAAGTTTAGCATATGAACAACACAAACTAGGTGGTGTGGAGCACTTCAAGTGATGGGCTTCACACATGAGACAATTTGACATGATACCATGCCGAAAGTTGAGGTTCCATCGCCACTTAGTACTATGGTCTAGTGGTATTCCTCTTTACTTGTAAGTGAGCGATTTTAGGTTAAATTTTTGCCAAAGACGAATTTAAACCACATTATTGTTAATCCATTGTGAGTCTAAACCCATCATCTTTCCCTCAGTATAGATAATATCGTTTGTTAAAATAAAATAAAAAAAAAAAAAAAAAGTAGACGTTTCATCATAAAACTAATTGACAATATGAATGAGTAACTCAATTATTTATAAACACATGCAAGGTCTTTCCCTTACCTAATATGAGATCCACTCTCAACATTTCATTGTTAAGCAAACATGTACAAAATCAAAATGGAACAAACAATTCGATCACTTGACAAAATAGAAATCACTAAAGACAATATTATGTTTGTTAAAGATAGGACTCACTAAAGACAATATTATGTTTGTTAAAATGGAAATGAAGCTTCTGATTACACCCAACTTTTATCTCCTCACCCAACGAACTCTTTTTACTCTACAAGATTTTAAAAACTTTACATCTACTCTCCGCACTCACCAAATCTACCAAAATTACCCCTTCCAAATCCTTCCCCATCTTACACAATATATCTTCTTATCCAACAACCTCCCCTTCAATATGGGGTTGCCGAACCAATATTCATCAAGCTATGCACACTCTTTTGAGAATTCAACTTAATTATAA